TATATATATATTAAGCCAAATAGTTATAGGTTAGACAGAATGTCAGATATTCACCCTATTTTGCCTTATGTTAGTGATGTACCAAGGAAGAAATTGCTACTTTAAAACATCAGATTATTCTTTCTTCTAGAGATGACACGATCATACTGTCCATGGATAACAGAAAATAATATGCATTACAAATTACTGATAAGTGCTAAAGTGGGACTTTAAAAAATATACCTGAGCCTAGCTGAGGCTTCTTGTACTGTATCTCACATCTGTAACATAAATGTTTCAAGTCTCGCATGCCATGTCACTTGTACCCTACTGCAGATAGATGGCAACTGTATTTTAACTGGGTATTCACTTAGTTGTGAAAATTTTGTATCTTTGTTCTGGAAGGATGTCTAGCTTGCTTTATTAAAGAAAGAACTAACAAATGCAAATTCTGAGGACGTCTCTGCTTGTATTCTCCAAAAAGGGAGGGGAAAAAAGCCTCATGACTACAGATTATGTTGAAATTGTGCTTTCTCAAAATACAAGTTCATCACCGTTCTGAAAAGTAAGCATTTCTTTGGTAATCAGTAGCTACCTTGGTTTACCTAGGCCAAGATCCCAACCTTTTTACACTTTTTTTTTTCCTGATTGTGCTTGTAAGTATTCTCTACCAGTCCCAAGTATGTATTCTTATTCAGATAATATTAACCTTAAATGATAAAATTACTGCATCTGGTTTACGATTTTATTACCTGAACCTGCATGACACTGTGTTTTACTTGACTCTAACAGTTACAGCACACGCTCTAAATACCATCACTTACTGATTATCTGTTCTACAGCACAGCAGGGCTGTTTAAGCACAGGCATAAAGGCCTTAACTTGGTCAATTCTCTGACTTTGTTCTGTCGGCCCTTTATTAATACTTTAGCTTCTGTGTTGTACATAGCTGTCTTAAGTGAATAACTACGCTAGTAATTAGACACGAAAAGGTGCAGCTTGGTGAAAGAAACTGGATTTGGCTGCAGTATAGTAATCTTGCTGTCTCATAATCTGCCCTGTTCTTTTAAAAACATTCATCAGTACAGTTGCTGCCTCTATTTCCTGTGTCACAAGTTGGCAAGACTTCCACTGTAGTAGTGAGCTAAATTTAGAGATTTTAAGAAGAAGTCTCTAGAAAAAATAGCAATCTGAAACATTCAAAGATGTAACTCCTTGGCCCCCACATACAACATTGGTTTTAAACTACTAAAGGTGTGCTAAAGGCTTTGGAAATGTAGAAAGACGGGTGCCTGGTTTAATGATGCAAGTGCACAGCCTACAAGTATAAGCCAACAGGAAAGAAGGCAGCAGAATTTTGTGTACAATAAGCTCTTCAGGGCAGAAACTCTCTTTTTGTTCTGTGTTTGTACACTGGCTCTCATACAACGTAGCCTAATTCATCTTTAGGGCTCCTAACCACTATCACAATTGAAATAATAATGTTCATATTTTCTGGTGGTAGACTTGCTGTGACAAACAGTGGTCTAGATTTAATTTGTTATACAACGCAACAAAAATCACTAGAATTATGTACAACATGTATTTAGTCCAGTATTACTAATTTAGTAATTGCAACTCTGTAGATTTAGAAAAGTTCAATTAAAACAGAGCTATCATCTCCCCTGAAATTAAAAAATGTACCTGCCTATACGCATTCATAAAAGATTGTAAGTATTTTTTCTAATGTATGTCACCATAGTTCCTATATGGTTTTTCATGTAGTATCTATGGTAATTTTGTGCAAATTGATCTTCACTTGTAACTTGCAATGTCCTAGCTGATGCTGAGATGCAAGGATGATGAAAAACCACCAAATATAGAGAAAAGAGACTGGAGTTTTAGTTCATTTGCACTTCAAGAACTTCAGACTTTCAATTCCACTGATTTAGCACTTTCACTGTCTTTTACAGTGATAAGGTGAGCAATTTCACAAGCACCAGGAAGAACTGGTAGGCCTTTGCAGTTGAATAATTACTAACAGTCACAGAGCTAGTTTTGACCTGGGAAAGTTTCACAGCTTTTCTTCTCACTCTGATCACATGGAAAGCCTCCTTTCCTCTAGGAATCTAAACGGGAGCTTCCAAATTAAACTTTCTTCTCAAGCTCAAACTTACTAGGCACCAGTGGTCAGCAGCCCTGGAAGCTGACCTGGCTGTATTTGAGGTATAATAAGAGTACAGACTGATACATAATTTTGAAAAGGAAGCCAATTTTTTACAATGTTACGATTTTTATTTTTCTCTGTACATGTTAATCAAATTGAAAGGCCTTATGGAATACACAAAGGCTTCCAAAACAGCATTAAATTCCCTTTGTTACCAGAAGGAACATCAGGCAGACAGACGTTAACAGGCAGTTTTTCAAAGGAACTATTTAAAATGCTGGATAAATTACATATCCAATGGGGGCCCTAGGCATGCACAGTATGTGTGCACTAATGGGCACACAACCTCTAAACACAGCTGAGGAGGTACATTTAGTACCAGTCTGTTCCTTTAACAAATTCAGTCTTTGTATGTTGAGTATTTAAATGACATGCAGTTTATTTAACATTTATAAAGATTTGCAGGTCTCGGAGAGATCAGCCACCAAAATCAGCTCCCTTGCACTGCTAGAGCATCTGATTTCATTTTTGTTTTCCAGTCCAGAATTGCCCAACTTGTGGTAATTAGCAAAGCCAGTAATGTATTATTTCATCATGCATATAGCAAAAAGTGTTTTATGTTAAATAAATACTATATTTACCCGAATCCAAGATGACTTTGAATTTAATATGACACCCTCCCCCCACTGCTGTGGCAGCAAAATCAGTGGCAGAGGATGAGGGATCACCCTGCCACTTGTCCCATTGCCCCTTGCCCTCTCTGCCTGCCCCTTGTTCCTCTTATGCCTGTGCCTGCCCTTGCTGTCATTTGTCCTCTGCTGCCTGCCACCTGCCCCTCCATGCCTGTGCCTGACCCCTGCCACCTGCACCTCACCCCTTGTCTCCCCCTTGCCCCATACTCTCTGGAGCCAGAGCAGAAGGTAAGGAGGGGAAGGGCACATTGGGGAAGGCAGGAAATGGGGATTGCAGGAGGTAGTGAGAGAGACAAGGGCAGGGGGACAGGCACAGTGAGGCAAGATGAAGTTTTCTTTCCCCTATGCTGGCTGGGAAGAAAATCTCATCTTGGATTTGAATAAA